CCCCACCCCAAAAAATGGTAAAATGTAACCATGTCTTACGAAAAATATACTGAAAATTATCTTTAAAAATATTATTGCTAGCGAGGTGGCCGAGCGAACTAACGCGTGTTCATAGCGGCACCGGCAACCTAATAACCGAAGTTTAAGACAATAAAATAATTACGACTTCGCGTCCCGGTGCCATGGGGAGCTTTTACCTCTGGCATTGATTTCCTGGCCATTAATTTTCGTATGGATAAGCGGAGCCATGTTGATATTATCACAACTTTTGTGATTTTCGAAAAGGCTGGAGGCTAGGCCAATATTTTGAGCGAAAAATTGTTATTTTTCAATTAATATGAAAATTCTTATTTAAGGGTTTTTCGAGGTGCGAAATATAAATAAATCTCAACTCCTTTTTCCTTAAAAAAATATTTGAACCCGCTTTACTTTTTAAGTCAGTAATTATTGTTTCAATATTTTACTCATACTATAGCTATATTCATAAATATAGGTATAGTATAGTTACATTACAGGCCAAATAAATATTTATTCTAAATTGGATAGGTAGCGAAAGTAAGATTATATGGACATAATTTTAATTAGTACACTGGGTAATTAGTAAACTTATCAATTAAAGGATGAAAAAAATTGTCAGGGATTTCAGTCGATATTTTTATTGGGTTAGCCGACTTTTTGACCCAAAAATGGGGGTCATTCTCAGGGCTATCGTTTGGAGTCGAGACAAGAACTGATTTTTTGGGGTTCTTGTGATGACTTCTAAATGGAAGCCCCGAGGATGACCCACATGTGTGGGTTGAAATGTCAGCTATCCCAATAAACATATCAACTGATATCCCTGACAATTTTTTTCATCCTTAAAAACCCTTATATAAGAATTTCCTTTTCAATCGAAAAAAAAAAAAACTTCTATTAATTGCTCCAATGATACCCATCTATGTTTATAGCTTTATAGCAGATATTGTACTAATATCTATTTGCTGTACTAGAAAAATATATTTTGCTCATTTTTTAAATGATTTTATACAAAAAATTTCATAGAAATATAAAAGTTTAGATTATTAAAATCAATCTTCTTTGTAAACATGAATCATTCTTCTCCTCAAATTTAAAGAATAGAATTATTGAAAATCAAGATAATATTATTCAGCCAAATAAAATGTTTGAATTTAATATATCCAAACTAATTTTGACTATACTGCCAGCTGAATTCTTGTTTTTGTTTTTTTTTATAAACATTTTTTACCATTTTCCATTTATGTACCTTTTTACTAAATTATTGTCTCACTATTTTTGGCCTGTAGGTGGTTTCAATAAAATAATCATGCTTAGTTTGTTGATTATTCTTTATTAATGTGCGTTTTGGGGGATCTCTGCTCCCTCTTCAGTACATTATATGCTTCTGAATTCAGTAAGTCCTAATTGGCAATAAGATTAGTCAATGGTTAAAACTTAAACAAAGAGTGATTTTTTTTTTTTAATCGACGTATAGGCAAAAAACAATTTTTTTATTTAATAAAATTTCCATTAATGAGTTATCTCCTTTAATTTGTTAATTGATATCACTTTAATTTAATAAATCACTTATTAATTAAATTCAGGATTGTAAAAATATGTATTATCAGTAAATATAATATAGGTACAAATAAAGTGCCATGAGGAGAGGGCTTTATTTAATCTGGAGAGATATAATTTCTCCACAATAAATTAAAATTTGATGAAAGATCTATTCCAGCTCTCTCATAAATATGTTTGTGTAAAATATTTGATAATGGAGTTTGAATTGGTTGAATTGAAATCATTAAATTGATACCGTAAAGTTTGGTTACTGGTGTAGGGAGGAGCAATCTTAAGTCTTATCATTGTTGATTGAAATGTTATAGTTTGTTTAAGTTACTTTTTGGGAGGAAACCAAGTGATCTGATAAATATAATTCTTGAGTTTTTCATATAGAGGTAATTTGGACCATTTATCAAAATATTATTAAAATAATTTTGAATCTTAAGTACGCCACCTCAGTCTGCTGTACAAACTCTGTTAAATTCCTGCCACCTACATACTTCTTCATTTTCCGTTCCTACCTTTCTGATAGCTACTTCAAAGTAAATCACAATAAGGCCTGTTCAACCCTCTTTTCACAATCTGCTGGTGTTACTCAAGGTAGTATCCTCAGTTCTATGCTTTACACAGTTTATACAGGCCATCCTAACACTGTCATCACCACCTACGCCGATGACACATGTGTCCTATCAGTTAATAATGACCCTTTAATTGCATCCCAAACCTTCAATCACATATCACAAACTTTGAAAAGTGGTATCAAAACTGGAGAATAAACATTCCAATTAATCCCATCAAATTACTTTTACCCTCCATCGTAAACCTACAACTCCTTGTCCTACAGTATCCTTCAATAATATTCCACTTGTTTCTGTTAAACAAATCCGCTAACTAGGATTCCAATTGGACAAACTTCTTACTTGGAAACCGTATGTAAGACTAAAACAACAAGAAACTGCTCGACGTTTCCAGCTGCTCCAATACTTACAAGACAAACACTCTAAACTTTCAGTTAGTTACAAAAGACTCATTAAAATTACTATAATAAGACCTATATGGACATTCCGAGTTGAGCTACCGTTATTATAGACAACATTGGGATCTTAATATATTTTTACTATCATCAAAACTTCCAATTCATTAATAATTCCTAAGTAAAAGGAATTGATTTCAGATCTTCATCTTCATGTTTTATATTTTCATTCTTTATAATTGATGTATTTTCATATTTAAAGAAGAGAAGAATAGTTGGGGTGCTCAGTCAAAAAGGAAGGCAAAAAATAAATTATAATATTTATTTTTTACATATGCCGACGTTTCGACCTGAAGTTCAGGCCTTCATCAGGGCTAAGAAAATAAAATAAATAAAATGAAGGCCTGAACTTCAGGTCAAAACGTCGGCATATGTAAAAAATAAATATTATAATTTATTTTTTGCCTTCCTTTTTGACTGAGCACCCCAACTATTCTTCTCTTCATTATCCACGACAGTCAACCAATTACCAATTATATATTTTCATATTTGTTTTATTTTTATTCATTACTAAGAAAAATTCTGAAATCTATAAAAAAAGAAGGTGTAAAAGTACATTAACTTCTTGCTACATCTGTGATCTATATTAACGTAACTGTGAATAAGTCTATTCAGATTGGTGGCCTTCAAGCTGCTATACGAATTGTTGAATATTAATATCAAGCTAGAGTGAACTTTTTAAAATTGTTGTTACATCTTAAGTATGAAGATGGAACCAGTTCTGAGACCAACATTTTTGTTTTGAATTATCATTTGAAGAGAAATTATATAACTAATTAACAGAAAGTTTCTATTTATTTTAATCTTATTCTTCTTCTGTCACCCTTTAGTGTCTATCAGCATAGAAGAGCATCTATCTAACCAGGATTGTCACTGCTATCTGTTTCTTGCATTGTTACTGGTTTGGCAGAGATTTCTTTCCTTTCCTATTGAACAAATAGTCGAATATTAAGATTAAAGTAATCTTAAAATACTTCACTCAGCTCATTTCTTTTGCCTGACAATTGCTGATTTACAATGGTCCTATGGGTTATGATATTTGGACTTAATGGTTTCCACTAAGCTTCTTGGAACATTCTTAGCTCTTCATGACTCCCAAAATTTGTTCCTTGGAAAATAGTCAAACGCTGCTTGAAGGTCAAGGAACATGAGGTATATATTTTTATCTTGATACCTGGATTTTTACATATTTTTTATGGAGAATACACTTCACAGGGACTAGTCTAAGTGCTAGACAAGTGGGGAAACTCTTCCCCTGGTCCGCCGAGTTTAGTACAAGGCACTCTCACACTGCAGAACAGTTCACCTTACACTGAGGGTGTGGGGTGGCCCAATGGGCTAAAGCGTATGCACAGCACCACTAGTTGCCTGGCAACCGGATAACAGAGATTTGAGATGATTTAAAAAGTAGGAGTTCGCGTCCCAGTGCCAGAGGCGATTTTAAATTCCCCGCCCTCACCCCCCGGCCCGGGAAAATCTCGTATAGCCTAAAAGACGAGGTAGGGAAGAACAAATAAAAAAAAAGTTCACCTTACACTGAGACTATTTTCGATAAATTAAGAGCTAGGTTAATGAGAACCACAGAAATTTACGTCCTCACTGAGGAGGAGTTTCCTCAGTTGGTGAGTGAAGAAAACTTCCAGCGGTTCAAAGAGTTTATAAATGGCTGGAAGACAGCGGTGGGCCCAGCTCACTTCAGCCGATATTATGGCAGTAGTGTGTTATTATGCATTAATGCTAACATCACACTACTGCATACACCCGTGTTGCCCTGGTGGCATGGGTGGAAAACAAATAAAAAAGTTCACCTTACACTTATTTTTACCTAAAATCTTCCAATACTCCCCTTGGCGCCACATTCCTTAGGAAGATCCTAGGAAAGGTGTGTAGCCTAACCTCCAGTTGTCCTGAGGATAAAACTACAGGCACCGACTGATGAAATTATCGGGAAACAAATTATAGGATCATGGAATGATGGGCCTGAGAGAGTGGGGCTATTGTTTGGAATATATCATATTTACCTATATGCAATATAATATATGCCTATAAGAAAAATTACTTGCCCGAGATGAAAATTTTTCATATAGGTAATGAGTTGTTTCAAGATCTTCCTTGTGACAAAAAAAAAGTTTTGTTACACAAAATACTTTAAACTAAAACAGTACAGCACTTTAGTAGATGATTCCTTTTACATAATCATCCTAATAGAACACCATGAAACTAATTCTACAATACCTGCAAGAATATAGATACAGCCCTTTGTAATGGAATTGTAATGTACACGATCGATATGTTCATGAAGTTGTATGAATTTCATGAATATACTATAGTATGTATAGCAATTTTTTGAGGGAGGGAAGAGCATTGGGAGGGCTCAAGCCCAGCAAGCCTCTAGTAATCAGTGCCTAAATATGAAAGAATAAATATCAATACATGATTCTAGATATGTCTCATAAATTATCAAAAAATAGTTAAGTATTATATGAGTTAATGGATGAGACAAGATGTCTCTAAAATCCTGCATTGATATTTATTTATTTTTATAAACAGCGTAAAGATAGTAATTTTAATTTTTTCAGACTAAGGCATTATGAAGGCATTATTTCTTTCTTCGCAATGTAGGTAATAAAAAGTAATAATAAATAATTAGAAAATTTAAAAATAACTTTATTTAAAATATTTGTTTTACACTTGATAAGTCACATGTTTATTTCTATTGGCATCACCATGTAATTAAAATACATATCTTAACTTTTTTTTTTAAATACAGAAACCAGTAATCGCATGTACCACTTTACAAAATTGAGTAATTAAAAAAGTATATAATTTGTTACTTCATTTAATTACCAGCATAAAATACAATTCAATGTCATGGATGTTATAGCACAGCAGTAAAAAAAAAAAAAAAAAAAAAAAAAAAGGAAAAACTAGGTATAGTATTATAAAATACAAATAAGAAAAAAATCAACAAAGTGGATATAGATATATATAAATGTATAAGTGATTTTGAAAATGAAAGTGATTACATATTGAATAATTTAATCCAATTTATATAAATTTATAAAATAACAAATGAAAAACAAAGATTTGCCATATAAATAATGGAAGCAACATCAATAACTAGGTCTAACTACAAAAAATATATAGAAAAAAAAAAAAAGAAATAAGAGCTATCTACATTCATGAGCATACTTTATATGCCAATTATTTTCCGCTTAGTTATTACGAAGTGTTGCAAGCATGTGACATCAGAAAAAACAACTATCACAGAATATCAGGATATACACAACCGAGGAATGATTCGTACATAACTACTTAAGATTTCTTATAGTTTATTTTAATAACAGAAAAAGTAGTAAATAACTACAGAATTTGAAAATGAATAGATAATTTTACAAGATAAAATATACTTGAAGTAATAATTTCACCCTGGTTCATTGAAAAATAGAAAAATCTATAACATTACAAGTAATAAAAAAAATAAAACAAAAAAAAACATATAATTGACAACACTCTTCTTCTTAGTTTGTTTTGATTATCAAAATCTTTCCTTCAAAAGAGAAAATTATAAAAAAATTGCTGATTATTATCAGCTAGAATATTATCAAAAATATTCCCATAGATAGGCACATTTAGTTTCAATATATTTGATTAACCAAAATTTTTTTAAACTTGTAATGGTTGATTTACAACCAATTACTTCACAAAACAAAATATTCAGAAGCATATTTAAAAGTTTTATGAGTGTCATAATACTGAAGACACTTCATTAGATTTATACAAAAATAGATTTACATACAATAGAAACTCGATTATCTGAAAGGAGCAAATAACGCTAACTTTAAAAATGAAAAATTAATATAAAATCAAAAAAAATAATCAGATTATTGAATAAACTATTGACTACCAATTGAATAAAAATTATTCTATTCTTAAAATCATAATTCAGATAAAAGAGGCCCTATGTATATTCTATATACAAACAATATCATTAAACTATCATATAGTAAATGTATACATTTTTATATATATAAAACCGCACTTTCTTCACTTTTTTTTTTTAACGTTGGGACATTAACTTCCAACGGAGGAAGAGGAATGCAGCTATCCTCAAAATAATAAAAATAACAATTAATGCTATGATATCCAGATTGAAGTCAGCATTTAACATATCAAGTTCTTCTAAAGTGGTAGAAGGCGATTTGAAGTGGCAGTATACCTGTTAAATAAAATCAATAAAGTAATTAATAGAATAAGCAACTCAATTCATTTAAAATAAGTGTGTTGTATAGACTCTCTTAAAATTATTGAATTGTTCTTATAAATAAATTTGTTTCCCTAATATTGCATATTTTTTTAATGTATTACAAAGAAAAAAGAAAGATATATAACACGAGAGTTTTCCCATAGAAATACTAGTTCTTTTTTATTTATCTTACAATCATTATTTGTGGTTGGTAAAATATATCTCCAAAAAGAATGTATGGGTAATTTATCAACTACTTATTTTATGTAATTTTTTCAATTGAATACAAAAAAATTTCTTTCAATGATATAAAACACAGTCATAATATAAACAGAGTATATATCAAAGTTAACTATTAACCAATTTCCACTATTTGTGATCATTATAAATAAAAAAATAATTTTTTACCTGATAGCACTTCAGTTTTTCACGACCAAATGCATATGTAGCCAAAGTTGTTCCTTCGAAACCATATCTTATATAAGAAAGATATGTAATCCATCTGAGGTAAATGGGAATTGCATCAAAGCTGACGAAAAATCCAGAAAAGAGAAGGAAAGGCACAGACATAACTGGTGCTAGGAAGACACCATTCTGAACATTCATGGCAGCACCTACAACAAGTCCTACGGATTGCGCAACAAATGAAATCAGAAGACAGGCTGATAAGAACATGGTGAATCTTGATAATTCAGGAGGCTGCGAAGTTAGGTAGTATACTATTGAAACGTAAATCACACAAAATATCGCCTGAAAAAAAATAATAATCATGTTTAGAATAAATTTATCTTGTTTGCATAATTTTCTAATTACAAAAATTTTAAACTGGTGATCGAATAAAAATATAAAAAACTAAAGTAAGAAGGCATAGATTAATGTTTACTGAACCTAAAGAGAGAAGCTAGATGTTATGTTAAGTCTGAGTTAAAAGATATACTTGTTTATTTCAAATTACTAACTATCCTGAAAATGTTAAATTTTAAAGTTAATATATGTATGTTATACCTGAAATGGAATATCAGATACTGTGATAGCCATGTAATACGACCTCAGCGAATACCATCGATTGAAGTTCTCTTTAATCAACACGGGCATTTCAAGCGGGACTGTAAATCACATTAATAGATAATATTTTAGTACTTATAAACAACAATCTAACAAAAAATAATTTTTAAAATATTAAACCTTATATAAGAACAACCCTAGAGCGGGCTCATTACGAAGTATGAGCGTTTACTATTATTACTCATTCTATTGTACATTCCTGGATGATATTGATAATGAATAGTATCTTAAATTCAAATTATTGCAGAAGAAAACGATGCACAGTTTAGAAGTGTGAGAAAACTTGGAGATATCTTAAAATTTTTAAAAATCCTAAGTCAGAAAAGGGATGTATAAACCTAAAATATTTGCTCAAAAGAATTCGATACATAATAAACTCATTGTAAAATAAATGAGGAACCGTTTAAATTGATAAACAGAAAAAAAAAATCTACAAAACTATATTTGTTTTTTATTATTATTTTAATTTTAATGATGAATAAAAAGAAAGTAACATAAAATAAAGATTTTCCATAATTTGCTAAGTGAATAAATTGCAGACATCTTGTTTCTATAAGATATGACATTGTAAAATCCTTTGGATCAATATTATTTACCAAAAAGTTTAAAATAAAAAAGCACTCTGATGAAAGGTCATTAATGAGATTTAAAAGATCTTTTCTCTATTTAATTTTTAAGCCGATGCCAAGACAGCAGCAAGATGGAACAAGCGACCAGTTCAAAACAGTTTGAACTTAATTCCGCTCTGAATCAGTTAATATTCATTTTCTGCAGAACTAGTAATCTCAATAGAAATTACACATGTACCTCCATTTTTTAATTAATTAACAACAGAGATCGCTCCTTGGAAATTCATATGGTCGTAAAACGCAGGCCCATAATATAATTAAAAAAAGAAAATACGGCTGCAATAAACTTTCAGAAAAAATACAAATAAAGATATAAAAAATTAGTATTATACAGAAATAACCATATAATTTTATTAAAGAAGAATAAATGAAAGTGTGAACATAGAGAGCCACCATCTTTTAGAGGTTGTATGCATAATGACAGCAATAAAGTTATATGAAATAGTAAATAATTTCCAATACATGGTATTGTAGAAGGATAAATGATAATGATCTTTAATTTTTTTTTCCTAATATTTATTATTTGATATTTTGGTTTAACATTATCATTATCAAAAATATTCCAATCTTTTTATTGTTATTTAAAATTGATATGGTATCCCATTATTATTTTTGTCTTCTTTGGGTTTCATTTTTTTTTTTTTGGTTGCTTTCTGTTTCTTATTTAGCCGTATTCGGATTTTGTTTTGATGGCTAAGAATTTTCAGTGAGCTCCTGTAAGTATTTCAACATAATTTGGACACAAAATAGTGGAATATTATTGAAGAAACTATATTAAATTTATCAACTTGTTGAGCAAACAACTCAACTGATTTTTAAGTAAGATGGTTCAAATTACTCAGAGAGATCTTGTAAATGTTTTCAAACAATTTGAGCTCAAAATATTGAAAAAATATTTTATTATATTTTAAGTATTCCCAAATTTTTGTTGATTTCATATTGTACCATTTATAAGTATCGTGATCACATCCGTTGAATATAAATGTCAATACTTGAAAACATTAAAATAAATATATAATTTAATTTAAAAGAAAAAATACCAGGACTACAGAAATAATCCTATACATCTTAAGAGAATGCACTTAGATATCTACTTAAACTTGGTTCAACTGGTAAATTTGGTAGATTGTTAAGGAAATTGATATCTACCAACATTAAACTCGGTGTAAGTTGCCCTTACACTACACTTTATGACTCCTAGCAAGTAGATTTCATCCGATGTACTGCTGCAAGTCAACAACTGAAAGAATCTTATGAGTTTAAATGTGGGGTGGAAATTATCTGACTAGTACACCAAGTTTAAATATTCGTAGACGTCAATTTCTTTAACAATTTACCAAGGTGTTTATTTTTTAAAAATCATTCGTTATTAGACAGCTGACCTTCAACAATATAATAATTAGCTGTAGCAAATAACAATTTAATCATTGACATATTTAAAAATAGAAAATAACTTAATTAATGATATATATTTATTATTGATATATTTCTAAATAGAATTCTCACATGATAAAATTGTGATAGTCATAGATGTATACATAAGGAAGAGCATGTTGAAGAAGAGGAAACCCAAATTACTCAAAACTTTGGCACCGTCATTTCCAATATCGTAGTAGAGAGCTCCAATCAGAAAACCAACCAGAATATGAGCAAATAATCGTAAGTACATAAGTGTCTGAAAAAAAAATCAATTAAAGATTCTGTTAATTAATTTATAAATATAATAAAAATTATACACAAATAAATAATATATGTATGATATAAGAATGAATTGATAAAAAAATATAATTAAGTACAAAAAATAAATTTAGTAGGCATAAAAAGATAGTAGTAATATTAAAATTTAATGTTGAATTATTAATCAAATAAAATATCTTTTCACTAATGTTTTTGCCTATAGATCAATTTAATAAATAATCGCATTTAGTTTTTAATTATTGCTTATTACTGAAAGTTTTGGAGAATGAAGGAAGACAAAGATTTCTCAAAACGTTCATTAATAAACAATAATCAAAAACTAAATGTGATTATTTATTAAATTGACCTATAGGCAAAAAATCAGTAAAAATTTAATTTCGAAAAAAGGGCAAAACTGTAAAATGAAAAATATAATTTAATAAGACTAATTCAGAAACTTGAAAATAATAAATTAACTTAGTATTTTTGTATCAAATAACTGCCAAAATCAATTAAGTATTCAACTATGATAAACACATTTATCATCTACAAGTAACAGTTAGAAATATTACTTTCTGGAATTTTATCTTTATTTGTGCTCAGTTTTTTTAATTACAAAATCAAGCATCAAAAATAAATCAGAGCACCATGTTAAATCTTGATTTAGAAAGAAAACTAAAGCTTTTCAAATTATTACTGGATTTTATAAGAAAACTTCACATTCAGTAAAAAAAAAGGAGTAAATTTTTCAATAACTTACACAGAAGTTAAAAATTAGATTAAAAAAAATTTTAATTACCCAATCCCTTCGTGAAAACAATAATGTCCTCTTGAGAACTATCCAAAATTGATTTAACTCCGATGTACCATATCTCTTTTGACTTGTTGGGAGAGAATCTTCAAGAAGTGTAGATGTTACGCCAGGTTTGTCAGCTTCACATGTAGTCATTTCAATAGGGATAACAACGCCATCTCCAGCTAAACAATTAAATACTTTTTAATGAGATAAAACTTATAGCCTGTTAGGTTTTTGAAATAATAATGTTGTTTATCATAAATACTTTAAAACATATTTATTCATCGTTATTCTATAAAATTATTATTCTAATCTATGTTTTTTTTCTATTTCTTGGAGTCTAATGGGCCAAGTGATACGGCCATTACAGCAAAGTAGGATTTTTCATCTTTGTAAAGATTCACAAAATTACAATTATGCAAAAAATTATAACAAAGTAACACAACTTGAATATTTTGAAACAATAAGACTTAAAATGACATAAAATATAAATTGCTTTGCAAATATAATAAAAATAAAATTGTAAATAAAATATAATATTGATTGGTAAATAAATTTATTGATTAACTGATATAAAATTGCACTTAGCGAAAAAATTATAATTAAGTGAAACATTTAACTTGAATATTAAAGGATAATACTTATAATGATATATTAATTAAGATTTGGATAGTAAAGAATTCATAACATTAAAAAATAGAAGTAAACATATCTAAAAATAATTATATTCAATATTTACCAGATGCAGGAACTTCTTTTGAAATATCATTTTGCGTATAAGATAGTAAATTGTTCCCATGATTAGCTTCCCCAGGCAGTGACTGAGTGTTGTTTATTTTCTTATCGAAGTCAGCATTGTTGAGTTGCTCTGTCTGGGGGAATGGTTTACCAGCTTGAATATCACATTTTCCGTTCTGAATTGCAGCAACGAGTTTACGAACATAGTCCCCATATTCACCACATGATACTTCAATGACTGTAAAAAAAAAAGTTAGTAAATTAAATTTTGTAATAATAGTTTTAAGTAGATGATATGATGTGAAATGTAATTTCCTTCAGTCAGATAGATACGGAATTAATTTTTTTTTTCTTGTTGTTTAAAACAAAAAGATGTGAGTGGAAATATTCTATTCAGAGAGAGAGAAAAAATTTAACTTCCTGCAAGAGTACAAAGATTCCCTACCTTTAGTAGTTAGAAAGTAAAAGAATAAATTAAAATCAATAGTTAAAAATAAAAACTGACTATTTTTAACTTGCAGTAATTAAGAATATAAGTCAAAAAATGACTTTTTGTTTCTCATTATATAATACCAGTGCAAATTTTACCTATTTCTGAAATATATTATTTCTATAACAATGTTATTTAAATTTTCAAGAACACTAGTGAACTCTGCTGAAAACGTTTAATAAATATCATTACTAAATTGTCACTAAAAATTTTATATATACTTTTTTTTTATAAATAAGATGTTGATGGTTAATTCAGGTCAGTGTTGTTCTAGAAAAAGTTAAATGATTATTAAAATAAACTCTTGATAGTTAAAAAAACTTTTACAACAAAATATTTTTTTAATCCCCATTGGTTCCTGAAAATTATAACTGACTAATTCTTTACTAATAAACACTGTGTAATTAATTAAATTGCAGTGAGTTTGAAAAAGCTAATTTATTTATATTTTTTGTGTCAAATTACTTATCAAGAGCCATATTATAAGTATTTTACTTTTAGATCTGCTTTTCAAACTGGCTGAACATGTCAAAAATATTTTTTAAGTAGCTAAGAAAATATTACAGAGCTCAAGGTCTCAGGTTCGAATCCGGCTAATGACTAGTAATTTTTCATCAGCCTGGGGCACACCCAGCCTCTATAAATGGGTACTCTTAATCAAATAATTAATTAAGAGGGTAAATCTGGCAGTTGAGCATGATTTCGGCCTAATCAGCTCCCTGCACCACCGTTGGCCTTGATTGAACCCAAGACCCTTCATGGCTGGAAGTGGTACAGGTTTTTTTTTTTTTTTAAGAAAATATTTCTAAATCTAAGTTCTACCTACACTAAACCTATCTAAAGTTACAAATACTGCATTAGTTACAATCCTATATAATAATTAAATAATTAATAAATAAGTGCTGTTGCTAATCGATTGCTTAGACCATTAAGTCACAGATTCACAGAAAGGTGAGTGACTCCTGTGCCTTACACCAGCTCCTGTTCTTTCAGGTTGGGGGTTGGACATAGGACTAATAAACCTATTCCAAAAAAAAATAAAAAAAAATAGGGTGGATTTCTGCAAAGATTAGGCAACCATCCTTCAGGAAAGTACCTGATAAGGAGGGAGTGACTGTGCTCACATCCAGTTATTCTAAAAACCACATGCTCTCTGAATATCTTGAAGAGAATTAAATGCATAAAGAAAATCAAACGATCGCCAATAACCGCCCAAGCTCCTAGAAGACTCATTTTGGAAGCCCTAAAGGCGAGAAAAAAATAAAGTCGTAAGAAAAAAAACCAATTCTGTATAGCTAACACAGTACTATTTAATTGTGAGGCTTAACAAGAACCGAGAATGCATGCTATAGGCCTTGAAATAGTTGAGTCCAAGAGTAAGGTGATTTAGGTTAAACCCAAGACTGTATAAACCGTTGACTCAATAACTTAAGGACCGATTTTTTTCTTATTTCATGTTTAATCATATCGTCTCTTTATAGATTATATGAGCCCTGTGGGAATATGTTTTTATTTCTTGGTAGACATATGTAATGAATGCCATCTGTCCCATTCTGGTTGGAATAGATAGATAATCTGCATGATGATTACGTTAGGCCAAGAGTAAGGTGATTTAGGTTAAACCCAAGACTGTATAAAACCTTGACTCAATAACTTAAGGACCGATTTACCGGGACAAGAGGTAAACGAAAAAAAAACACATTACACCAAACGAATAGCAAAGATTATATAAAATGCAAAATGAATGTATATACACCTTGTAATAAAGAAAAAAATACTTCAAAAGTTTCTTGGATCTCATAGATTATTTTTTAGGCTGGTATCTTATAAATTACTGTTACTTGGGGATATAAAATATCTTTTATTTGTCAGGTGTCAATGATACCATATATTCTAGACAACAATTTAATAAACAACAATGAGACCAAAAAAGATCTATCATTTTTAGAAATATTGTTCATACTAAATAACCTGAAAGAAACACATTTCATTGCAAGAAATTTTAAATGAAAAAGTAATTTACTAAATTATGTTTTCCATATTAAATATAGTCAGTACATGCAGATATATGAGACAGAAGATACTTACTAAATGAGGCAGGGTTGTGATAGGACGGGCAGACAAGGCCGAGGGTGGCCATGAAGGGCACGAGCTGCTGGGTGGAACCCTGGTAGATACACTGTCCATCAGCCAGGGTGTAGAGGTGGTCGAACATCTCAAACAACCTGGCGGATGGCTGATGAATGGTACAGATAATGGTTCGGCCGCCCCGAGCGAGGCATTTCAGGAGGGAAATACACTGGAAGCAAGAAGAGCTGTCCAAACCACTGTAAATAAAATAATGACAATTATAATAAACAAATTATGCACCATCTACTTTAAAACTTGATTTATATCTCTAATTATTTAATGACAGACTCAATTTTTCAAAAATATCAATAAAAAAATAAATATGAGAAGGAGTTAGTCGAGGGTGCAGTCAAATAAATAAAAAATTAAAATATATTAATTATTTTAATTTTTGCCGACGTTTCGATCCACTTTGCAGGCCGTCTTCAGGGCGTAGGATGTGGCACTGCGGGAGGCAGTTGAAAAAAATAAATAATTTTTCTTTGAAACAGAAATAGCCCCAGAGATGGTAAAATTATACTATTTTTATTTTATTCTCAAATATTTATCTGCACCTATCGATAATTGTTGACAATCAGCAGATGGTCTGATAAATGTAACGAAATTGGCATGTCACACAGGGGGAAGGATAGAACCGAGTGGTCCCTCTTCCCTGGCTTCATTCAATTACCATGATTTGTTAAATGTCTCTCATCCAGCCTCTGATTAATTTTTTTTTCAATGAAAATAAAATATAGAATAAACAAAATACATTCAAATACCTATATATATTATAGATTTGCTGATACCAAATTTCTTTTTTTAAAAAAGAAAAATAAACTGATAAAAAACTGTTTTAATTTGTTTGATACTTAGGCCAAGAGGAAAATAAAACCTTCTCCTTCTAAATAATTCCAGATCGCTACCTTGTAGAATATACCATCACAAGTTTTTTTACAATTTTATTTGTTTTAAATTCTTTCAATCGCATCTAAGTACATACATTCATAATTATAAAAGTATATAAATAATTATGTCAATTAATGATGAATTTGAAGTTTAAAATTACATAAATATTCAATAAATTAATTTTCAATTAACTACTTGGTTCTTAATACATAAGAATAGTTTAATAACCATAATTTTATTTTTAATTTTATTGTATATCATTATATTATATTAAAATCATAATTAGTATATTTTTGAAACTAATGATAGTTTCATTAGTTATGACTTTCCACACTAGCTTCAACCACAAATGAGTTAATAAAATAATATAATAATTATTTAAAAGAAAAACACACAAGCTTCCATTAAATCAAAAAGCATCTTAGCATGACTAATAATTTTTATTTGAAAATTATCATTTAATCTGAATTTTGAACTCCAGTACTTTGGGGGTACCCTCCTTCCCTCCCCACAGAATACTTATGTGGAAAGATATAATATAGATGTGATAAATAATAGGTAAGATAAAGTATATTTTCTGTTCCACATATATAAATTTTTGTTTTATCAAATATGTAAATCCAAGTTGCATAATAATCAGTTCTTTTTACCCCAGTAAAGAATATTATCAGTCTATTTGCCCATCACTTGCTCAACGACCCTTGTGCAAACATCCTTATAGATAACAACAAATCATTGGCATTTTGTTTGCCCTCAGTTCAAATGACAAGTGATCTCATATCACTTAGCCTTTGTGCAGTTATCAATTACCAACTTTTGTCTTCATTAAACTCAAACAATATTTCCACATTACTGTTTATCGGTATTAACTGATAACTGAAAAATTAACATCAACATGGATTAACTAAAATTAAGTTCAAAAATAATCTCAAGCTCATTGATTTACCTGGTAGGCTCATCAAAAAACATGATAGGAGGATTGTTGACCAATTCTAGAGCAATTGAGAGACGTTTTTTTTGTCCTCCAGATAAATTTGAGGTCATAGTCTTTACATGCTCTTGTAAACCTAAGGTTTCCAGGATTTCTTGAATCTATAAAAAATAAAATAACAAATGTAGGTTTCAATCTCTTAAATAAGAACACATTTTTATTCAATGATCGCATAGACTTAGGTTTAAAGTTTTTTTCATTGATATCAATTTGAAATTCGTAAAACTTTATTTTAAAATAACAGGGGATTGATATTATACACCATAAATTGGAAATTTTACTTCACTGAATATGGTATCTATTGGTGTTATAAAAATAAAATAAATTCTTAAATTAAATTAAAACTACGTAATTTACAGACAATAACTGATCTTTAAATAGTAAAATCAAAAGAGGGAGAAACACGTTATTATAATAAAAGGGTGCTGCCCAACTATATAAGGTCGCTACAGATACAGCAAACGAAGCAATACAACAAATGAATCTGATAGACAATATTTAAAAACTTAGATTATTTAACTCAGATATTTATTTTACTTAGATATTTAAAAAATAGAAAAAGACCTGGATGGGTTTAAATTTATTTTACAACTGAATCACGGAACAAATTCGACCAGAGGCCTCATATCCCAAGACTAATCATGTATTGTATATTTATTTATATATATGTAAAAGATATTTTATAGGATATACCCTAATGACATTTTATAGGTATATAAATTTTAAATGACCAATAAAACTCTAATTATAAAATCCCATTATTTTTATTGCCATTTGAACCCTTGGATTGTGATGTCATAAGTCCAGCAACTCTTCCCTCCCATGTGAAAGTCATGACAGCAACCCTCTTACTCTGGCTTTAATAGCTTGGTAACATGAAGGATACCCTATCTTTACCCAAGTTGGAGCTAGTAAATATTTAAAGCACAAATAAATAAGCATGAGAGACTTGTGAAACCAATAATTTATGTATAAAAAAAGTATAAATATTATAATAAAAGTTAATAAATTAGCAAGGGAATATAATTAAGTAAGAAAGATCAGTAATGAACCAATTGGAACTCAGAAAAACAGAAACTTTCATCTTTTTATTTATGATTATACAAAAAAATAAAATAGAAGACTAATATCAAAAGGCTAAAAGTGAATTGATTTTAAAGAAGATTTTACAACAGTACAGGATATTTACTTTGATAGTTTTTGTATATCTTTTACAATTAAAATATAAGTTTACAACTGTTTAAATTACCAAGAAGTATTTCTTCAGTAAATACTTTGCATCTTAATATAAATATTATGTCAATGTTAGTAAAAATAAAAAAATAATTTACTGTTAATTCTTATAGAATAACTAACTCTTTAATTAGAACTGAGTCCCATAACTGAAATCCTATATTAGAATAAAATAAACTTAATAAATATATCAGTTAAACAATTTCTTAAAATATATTCCCGATACCAAGCAAAGAAAGAAAATGGACAAGTTAGGAAACCGTTCTAAAAGAAATAAAAATAATGGGGAACCGTAAAATATAAAACATGAAAATAATACATAATAATATACAATTAATACTGTGGCCATCGATTAATAATTTATTTGCTTCTAATAACTGAAATCCAGATAGTAAAAAGATTGCTTACAACTTTCTGTTTTTCTTGTTTGCTGATCTGTGTGCCCAATTTCAAAGCTGTTGCAACATTCATGGCTTCCTCGACAGATAAGTTACCATGGAGCTGGTTGTCCTGCATAATGTACGCTGACAGTTTGGCAAACTGAGAGAGGTCTCTTTCATGGCCATTTATAGTGATAGAACCCTCCATTCCAGACGTCCTGAAATATTAAACACAGTAATTGGAAAATAGAACAAAAAGAACATGAGTGTAAATATAAGAAACAACTTCGAGCTTAACAATTGTTATATCTTGATTCATTCAACCATTTTATTGAAAATTTCAATAAAATTGGAAAGAATGGAGTTTTTGTGAATGATTTGTATATACTGCTCTAGATTTAAAGATGACACATCTTGTTTGGCCGAAACATTGTCTATCAGAATAAAGAATACATTGTTTTGTTTATTTACTATCGACTACATTGTTGACTTGATCTCAAACAATGAATAATGATTAAATACAACCATCAATCACCTACCACTTTCAATATAAAAATGAAATAAGTAGACTCACTTGTATCCAGTAAGAATGTTGAGGAGGGTAGACTTGCCAGCACCTGACGGCCCCATGATGGCCGTCAGTTCGCCAGACTTCAGCCTCCCATTTACACCTTTCAAGATGGTCTTCACATCTGAAAAGAACAACAAATAATTACAACAACCCTTTTGTACATACATAATAATTGATGTTTTATGAGGAATAGTTAACTAAACAGGATGGAAATATAGATTTAAACAATATGAAATATAAGGCTTGTATTTATTTGATAATTTTTTTTAAATCTCCAAACTCTATAAACATCCCCAAATTCATTAATCAGTAAAGTGAGATGAGAATTGAAACAGAAAACATAGACCTCCTGATATACATAATATTTTTTTTATTTACATATGTACATTCTCATTTTTTTTAATCAAACCTCATTTTCTACTTCAATGAGTAACACAAATATTTAACCTACTCTGGGAATGAAAATAAATTATCATAATACCTTATAATTAATAAATATCATCAGAGGGGAATCAAGAATTTAATTTAAATTCATACTATAATTTTAAAATATCACAAAATAAAATTATTCCTTTTATTGAATCAAAGAATGATAGATGTTCTAGTGCCCTTCTTAATTGATTTATTCCAGTTAATAAAATAAATATAACTTCTACGAATAAGGTTCTTTCGGCCACAAATTATAATACTACATAAATTTCTCTTTAGAATATTTACTTCCATTAAATATTAATATCTAGTTAACTCCAAAGTAAATAGCAAATATCCGTGTCATATATTTTGTATATGAATTTAGGTGACATAAATTTACATATACTTTTGATTTTTTATTAAATGTAGAATTTAAATATAACAAGTATTAGATTTCAATGCAAAAAACACAATTTAAAATATATATATTATTAACTTTTCATGCTAATCAAAATTATTCTTATTTCAACATTAATTCAGAGATCAAATTTTTTTAATAACTTGACATACACTTAAAAAACTGAAAAACACTTTACTATTTATAATATATAATATACTGTAGGTATCTTATATCTTATATCTTATATACTGTCGGTATCTGGTGGAATTTGGAATACTCATAATATTTTATTTATTCATTCTAATATTTATATTATAAATTATTTTCAACTAGTATGAATGCATCTAGACCAATACAAAAAAAAATCTAAAATAAATGGGAGTAGGTGTCTGAGCTAAAATGAAATGTAAATTCATTATAGGTCAATGATAAATTTATGAATTTTGAAATGAATATTAAACACAAGAAAATAAGTTAATTTTAAATAAATAATTTTCTATATGTCAGTAAAAATGGTTTCGAGGGGATAGATAATATGAATAATAAAAGGAAAATTAAACTCCTGCATTGATTTTTACATTAATTGTTGCAACAGTATAGATATTTTTGGTATTGAGGGAGCTCATAAAAAAACCTAGAATGTTCATGGTGAACTTCTCAGCACTGGAAATTCCTAACCATGTTTAATAATATAGCAAAACAAGGAAAACGAGTTTCAATGATCTCTTAAACCAATTAAAATTGTTAAAGGACTTTTACTGAAACAGTTTCTTTTAAAAAAAGGAACATTTGAATAGTATTAATTTGAACTCTGTTAAAAACGTTGAAAATAAACCACAGAAAACCTACATTAGATATAAATTAATAAATGAGCCTTTCAGATGACAGAATGACTACCTCCAATTTCAACATTTTTTATTATTAATTTTAGTGATATTTCTAGTGGGAAAATTTATACCTTTATTCACAGTTCTATATTTCAGGACTGCAATCACCTTACTCACTGTCAGTACTGATATTATAAATTTTCCAACTAGAAATATCTAATAACTAAAATGACTTCACAATATATAATGATTTATGATGTATAATGATAGTTTATTGAATTTATTTATATTTATTATTATATTTATTTTGAATTTATATTTATAATGATTAATGATTGTTTACTGAAATAAATCTAGCAGTTATCTATTAAGAGAAAATACCTAAAATAAGCACAATATTTTAAAAATAAGAGATAAAACTATCTTCTTGGATATATCTTTTATCTTTAATTTATCCTTACAAACAAAAATTAAAAATTGAATACGTATATTTCAACTTCCCTTCTCACCTAATACATTTAAACCGACTTTAAATCAATAAAATTATTTTCCATGAATGTATTGTCCATTGGTGTTGAATGTATAAATTTAAGGTATATGGTTTAAACATTAATACATTAATGGAGGAAAACTTTATTTAACTATAACATTAAAACTTTAATTAACTATCTTTTAAGTTAAAATTACAACTAAACCTTTAACTACTTACAATCAGCAACTGCTAAAAGTCATTTTGAGTTTTATTCAAATGGGAATCCCGAATTAGATAGAAATTTATCATCGGGTGGATTCGAGAGTGTATTTTAAAATTTAGTACAGCTTTATAGCAATTTACAGAACAAACTAATCTGGATCATTAGCAACAGCACTGAGGGGGAGAAGGAAGAAGAATTTTATGAAGGGGTGCCAGGGCCTCCAATATCTTGCTGTAATTTACTTAAAAATAACTCATAAAAATTTTAATAAACCATATTGGTAATAAATATATTATATTACAGGTAATAAACTGATGACTGATGTACAGCATCTTTTATGTACAGCGTCCAATCCCCTCTCTTGCTTATGCATTGAATTCTAATATCAAATTACACTAACATTCGTCACCCAGGATCTGGATTTTAGCAAGTGGGCATGGTGAAATCAGGAACTTTGTATTGAGAGGTGCTCCATAAATCCAATCAATTCTGAACTAAGTGCCGCACATTAACCAGGTAAATCAGTAGTAACAAAACTATCTACCAAGAAGATATAAAGAAGGGAATCACACACCTCAATAAGTGCTCTCTTTGGCCTATCATGAGCCATTGGAGGGTTAATTTATTTTTTAGAAAAGAAGTGTACTCACTCAGTCTCATAAAAAAAAATAATTTTTTTAAATAAATAACTATTTTAAAAATAAAGTCTTAAAAAAATCTATAAAACCAAAGTTGAAAGGAATTACATACCACCATATCCATATGCTATTTCTAATAATAAAAACAATTTTTTATGTCTTATAAGAAATGTCTAACTCAGGAATACTTCACTGGTGGAATTTGAAATACTCATAATATTTTATTTATTTATTTTAATATTTATATTATAAATTATTTTCAACTAGTATGGATGCATCTACTAGTCCAATAAAAAGAAAATAAAAAATCTAAAATAAATGGGAGTAGGTATCTGAGATAAAATGAAATGTAAATTCATTATTATTATTTATAATAATATATAAAATGAAATAAAAATAATAATGATAAAATAAGTAATATTTATTATCTTATCATTCTTTCTATTTAATTTAATTTTGTTTATTATTATTTTTAGGTGAAAAATACACCAACTCAGGACCAAGTGAATATTATGCAGTCTTTTATTATCATTATTATTATTATTTACTTGTAACTCTGTACATCATGTGTGAATAGAAACCCCAATGTTAATTGCCAAGAAGTATAGCAAATTCTATGATTTTTTAATAAAAATAGGAATAAGAAAATTAAAAAAAAAAATTGTAAAAGTCTAATGCCATAATTCATTATTAAAAATTAAATAAATATATAGAAAATAAAGAGTAAACAAATTCGTTCATAAAAAAATAATTATGATATTCACGGCACTAGTTTTAAGAATTGGTTGATAAGGTTATTCAATTGATGCACTTTATAATCACTATCTATATTTAAAAAATTAATATTATTAGATTAAAAGGGAGAATTCGCAATAGCTCATTTCTCAACAGTGACCTCGAGAAAAATATATTGTATAGCAAATTATTGATACAGCTTATCACAATCTATGAATCGAGCACTTAACTATTTTCATTGATCCTTTCGATATTCAGAGAGGCAATTTTTATTTAAAATTAAGTACTTGAATGAATAGAAAGGAAAAAGTTAATATGGATGAAACAAAATTTTCATAATATTTTATTGAGTTGGCCGACGTTTCAACCCAACCACGTGGGTCATCTTCAGGATTATCGTTGGAATTCAATGCAAGAATAATCCCCAAGAATAGTTCTTGTAATGGAATGCTTTGACCATAAAAACAAACATGAAGCAATGAAACCAAAAATATTATTTCCTTTCAGTCTCTCTCCGTAGATCCGTTAGAACTGTCCACAAAGATTATTGATAGCTTTATGTTATTCTGTTGAACCAACGTGTCATTGGCTCTTAGGCTATATTTTAAGGGCCATTCACCTATGCGAAATCAAAACTTCATTTACCACAATTATGAAAAACCAAAACCAATACACTCTCAATTAGCATTTTGGAACCATTAAAAGCCAATCTATAAATCATGGCAAAAGACACTTAATTGCCGATAACCCGTCAAAGGATATTCAAATACACCTAAGCGATGCCTTGTCGTGAGGAGCGTCAATTCGATATATCGATTCACGATACATATTTAATGTCCGTGGATGAGAACGATTTAATTTATGATAAGAGACATTATTAAAGCTTCATAAATACAGTCTAATGTGAAAAAAAATAATAATTATTGTCGTCGAATAGTTTTTTTTTATTTTTCCTGTCAGATTTATGCCTACGTTAGTGTATACGTCAGCAAAGCGACAGTGGACTAATGTCTTTTGGATTCATAATTCATTTGGCATCATTACACATTCATGGCACGGGGGTTATCATTCGAGGAGAACGATTACCTCACAGCGATGGAAATGTTTTATCGACGCGAGGGACAAAGGTGGAACACAACATGGATAAAGTAATTGTTTTATATAGCATTATGATGCGGTACTATCCTTTTATATGACAGCCAAATAACACTAGAATATACAACTGTTCACTAGAAAAAAAACAGACAGGTCAAATGTTTCAAATCAAAGATTTACACTTGGTCAAAATGAATTCCCTCCAAAAAGAAAACTAAAATGAAAAACTACCTTACGAATGGATTGTCTTTAGCAGATGCGAATTATTCCACAAAATAATTCAATGAAATGAATATTTGAAATAAATGAATTATTTGAAGAAAAAAAAAAAAAACATTGAAAACCATAGGTGGCTTTGAATGTCTA